CTCCCAGCAGTGACAGCCAATGTGGGACACTGCGAGCGCTGCGGCTTCGGGAGGAAGGGACGGGCTCAGGGCTGCGGCACCGGGGCGAGGAGTTCTCAGGATGGCAGCCGTCACGGGAGAGAGAGAACTCCTCAGCAAACTTCCTAATTTATACTGAATGTGCCGTTCGTGGTACGCAATAACCCTGTTGGCAGCTTGGGTCAAGCGCCCGGGTCTCGCTCCTCCTCATCCCCACACCTGGTGAGCTGGAAAACACCGAGACCTTGAAACCCGCACACCGTGGCTGGCTAGAAAGTCAGTATTTTCACAAATTCAGACACAGGAGTCTTCTAAAAGTGCAGTTTTCCCAAGCCTTAGAAGAGACCTTGCCATAAAGTAAAATTACTGAAAGAAATTACTCCTGTGTCGCTCAAACCAGGCGCGGAGGCTGTCCCACCCTGCTCTGCTGCCACCTTGCAGCCCCATGGGCTCCAGAGCCTGGGGTGGGATGGAAGAGTCCGAGCCCGTGTCCCTCCACCCCGCAGGTACTACCTGCAACCTCAGTGGGTCTTTGACTCCGTCAATGCCAAGCTGTGCCTCCCCGTGGCCGACTATTTCCCTGGTGTGCTGCTGCCCCCGCACCTCTCGCCCTTCGTGACGGAGCAGGAAGGAGACTACATCCCTCCGGAGAAGCTGAAGCTGCTGGCCATGCAGAGGGGCGAGAACCCAGGTGATGCGGGGCTCTGAGGTCGGAGTTGAGGAGCTGGGCAGCGTTGCTGCCTCGGTAGGGCTGTACCTGCTCCGGAGGCAGCGACTGCTCTCCTGTTGGTAACGGTGGTCCCTCTGCAGATGAAGAGAGCGAGGAGGAAGAGGAAGAAGAGGAGGAAGAGGAGGACGACAATGAGAAAGAAGAAGAGGAGGAGGAGGAAGATGAGTCTGAAAAGGAGGAGGAGATGAAGTTAAAGAAGATGGAAGAGCAGAAGACCCAGAGCAACAAGGTACTGTTCCCGGCAGCGGAGTGGGAGCCCCAGGAGGAGGCAGCTCTGGTGAGCTCTGTCACTGCTGGGGCTCTGCTCGCTGTGGGGTGTCCCGGCTGAGCCCCTCTTCTGTGTCTGCTGCTGCTGTGCTGCTCCTGTGGCAGCCACCACACTTCTGGGTCCGGGACCCATGTTCATGAGCTGCAGCTCCCGTTCAGGCTCAAGACCTGGTCTGGAGGGTGCTGTGGTTCTTCCGTGGCCCCCAGTGAATGGCATGGAAACGTCTGTCCCTGGGGAAGGGTGGTGGGCGTCCGGGGTCCTGAGCTCTCCGGCTCCCCGCAGGCGCTTCCCGTGAAGGTGACCGCTGGCAAGCTGCGGCTGGAGGACAAACAGCGCCTGGAGCAGGAGCAGCAAAGCGAGGAGAAGCGTCTGGCCATCATGATGATGAAGAAAAGGGAGAAATATCTCTACAAGAAGATCATGTTTGGCAAGAAGCGCAAAGTCCGAGAGGTACGAGCGTAGGGCTGCTGTGGGCCAAGGACCCTCGCCTGGATCCTGGTGCTAGCTCTTCCCAAACGGGCTTATAGCCACAGATTGCTAAAGCCGGGTCTGTCCCCACTGTGCCAGCTCTGGGCTGCTCCTTCTGTTCCTCTCTGTACCGGGTGAGGGCACTGAGCGAAGGTGGGCAAGGGTGAGGCTCTACAAGCATCTTCCCCGGCATCCCCAGGCTGTGGTCTCCACCCTGGCAGGGCAGAGTTCCTCGTGTTCCCTCGGCACCATGTCTTGAGCAAGTGAAGCTGCTGCCTCTCCCCGGGTGCAGGCAGCAGCAGATGGGTCTGTTCCCCCACGTACAGCTGAGGGTTTGGTGGGACCGAGGGTAGAGCAGCCCCCGGTGTCTGCAGAGCGCTCTGACTGTGGGTCTCGGGGATTTATCCACAGGCGAACAAACTCGCTGCGAAGAGGAAAGCCCATGACACTGCTGTCAAAGAGGAGAAAAAGAAAAACAAGAAGGCGCGACGAGTGTGATGGGGCCCAGGAGCTCCCTGTGGGGGCGGGCTGGCTGGCTGTGCCTTGCGGACACCATTGTTTGGATGAAAACCCCTCAACTTCTCTCTTGGGACAGAAATGCTAAATTAAAACATTTCCCAGCTGTAGATAGGCTTCCCACTGTGCCTTTCCCAGGGCTCCCTCGGCTCTCCTCCCCCAGTGCTGCTGCCTGTCCTGGTCTGGTCTGCAGGATTGGTGTCGAGAGGACTGTCCTCTTCATACTGGTGCCACCTCTGCTCCCTGACCTGCAGGGGTGGTGAGCAAGGAGGAGGAGGCCAAGGAGAGCTCTGGACTCTTGCTGGTCCCTCTGGGATTGTTCTTTTTGAATTTGCACAGCCCTGGCTGGAGGAGCCAAGCCCTTGTGGTGGAGCAGGAGGTCCCCAGGGGCTGCCCAGCTTGGCGGCACGTTGCGGCGTGTTTTGGAGGCTTGGCACAAAGCTGTGCCTGGGGCTTTGCCCCAGCCTTGGTGGAGGGGAGCCCCTGGTGGAGGGGACCCCGTCCTCTGCCCAGCCCAGAGCTGCCCTCCAGTATCCACGTGGCAGCCTGTACTTCTCTTGCATGTTTTATTTTTAATTAAAGAAGGTGACGCTTCTCTGGTGTCATGTATTGTCTGTTCCCTCCTGGCCATGGTGGGGTGGGCACAGTGGAGGAGGTGTGGGTCAGTTCATCTGAGCCACGGTGTGGGGCCGGAGATGGTTCCTCATCCTGCACCAGGTGTAGGTACATCTGCTGAGAGGTGGAGCGGAAGAGGCAGAGCCTAGTCCCTGCTCCAGGTGTCATGACCTGTGGGCACTGTGATTGTCACCTTGCTCCTTGTCACCTTTCACCAGTCCCTGTTCCCAGTGGCAGGTTTGGGTAGGGCTGGCTGCTGAGAGCTAGCTCTGAGTCCATTTTCTTCAACCAGGGCAAGCGCAAAGTTCTGCCCCTGGAGGAGGCACAGCACCAGGCACCAGGACGTGCTGGGGGCCACCAGGCTGGAAAGCAGCTCTGTAGGAAAGGACCTGGAGGTCCTGTTGGGCACCAATTTGACCATGAGCCAACACTGTGCCTTTGGGGCAAGGAGGGCTTATGGTGCTGCCTGAGGAGTGTTGGGGAAGGTTAAGGGAGGTGACCTTGCCCCTTGGTGCTGGTGAGGCCACTCATGGAGTGCTGTATCAAGTGATGGTCTCCCCAGTGCAAGAGAGACGTGGACATCTTGGAGCAAGTTCAGCAAAGGGCCACCAAGATGATGTGGAGACTGGGGCATCTCTCCTAGGGAAAGGCTGTGTGAGAGCTGGGGCTGAAGAAGACAAGGTTCAGGGGGATCTTATCAAGGGATATAAATACCTAAGTGGAGGGTTTGAAGATGGACCCGGGTTCTTCTTGGTGCCCAGTGCCAGGACGTGAGATGATGGGCACAAACTGAAACCAAGGAGGTTCTTCTGAACATCAAGAAACACTTCTTCACTGCGAAGGGGACCAAGCACTGGCACAGATTGCCCAGAGAGGCAGTGGAGTCTCCATCCATGGCAGTACCATGACCAAGGAGGTTGGACCAGGTGCCCTTCAGAGGTGCCTCCAACCCCACCGGGATGCTGTTGGGTTGCCTGCAAAGGCACAAGGCAAAGTTTTTTGGGGCTTGCTGTCCCTCTCCCACCTTCCTCCAGCAAGAAGCCGGGGGGGACATGGAGACTTTTGGGGGTGAAGGAGAGGTTCTTTTGGGGGTCTTGGCTGAGATAAAGCAATGCATGGAGAAAGTAGGGCCGCACTTTGTGCATTCAGGGGCTCAGCAGCCCTGTTATTGGTGGAATTACTCCCCCCCCATTCCCCTAAATCCCTTTTTTTTCCCAAAAAAACAGCCACCCCTGCACACATTTCCTCACTGAGGCCTACATGCGGCCCTGAGGCCTGTTCTCCTCCTGGGGAGAGAAGGAGGGTAATGCTTCATTTTGAGCAACATTTATGCGGGTTTTTTTTCCCTTTTCTGCTTCATTTTGGGGGTTGGGAAGGGGTATCACAGGGTGGGATGGGTCGCTGTGGGGTTTTTGTAGAGTTTTGGTGAGCCTGGCCTCATTGGGGCGTGAAGGTTGTGTCACCTCATGGGGCTTATGGGGACACCATTGTCCCTGGCTGTGCTGAAGGCTGTGATATCTCGTGGGGTTTTTATGGGGACACCTTCTTCCCAGCTGTGGGGAAGGCTGCGTTATCTACGGGGCCTTTTTTAGGGACACCATGGTCCCTGGCTGTGTTGAAGGCTGTGGTACCTCATGGGGTTTTAATGGGGACACCATTGTCCCCAGCTGTGGTGAAGGCTGCGTCATCTCATGGGATTTCTGGGGAGATGCCTTGTCTGTGGCCGTGGTGAAGGTTTAGCCATCCTATGGGGCCTTTTATGGGAATGCCTTGCCCCTGGCTGTGGTGAAGGCTGTGGTATCTCATGGGGCTTTTAGGGACACCTTGTCCCTAGCTGTGGTGAAGGCTGCATCACCTCGTGGGATTTTTTGGAGGACACCCTCTTTCCCAGCCTAGCCAGGGTGAAGGCTGTGCCACCTCAGGGCACCCTGTGGGGACACAGCGGTGGCCCGTGAACTCGGGTGAGCGCTGCCAGTCCCGGGGGGTCGACAGCCCCCAGCAGTGAGCGGGCAACAGCACAGACGGGCAACTTGATAACGACCCACCTCGCTTTTTCTATTTTTTTCTTTTTCTCTTTTTCTTTTTCTTTTTCTTTTTCTTTTTCTTTTTCTTTTTCTTTTTCTTTTTCTTTTTCTTTTTCTTTTTCTTTTTCTTTTTCTTTTTCTTTTTCTTTTTCTTTTTCTTTTTCTTTTTCTTTTTCTTTTTCTTTTTCTTTTTCTTTTTCTTTTTCTTTTTCTTTTTCTTTTTCTTTTTCTTTTTCTTTTTCTTTTTCTTTTTCTTTTTCTTTT